TATTTTAATGAAAAACCATATTTGAAACCAGATATAATTTCATGTGCTACATTGTTATGTGGGTAAAATTCTAAATAATTTTCCAAGACCGATACTTTAACAGGAGTATTTCCTAATGAATGAAAATTAATACTTTTTGTTACTTCTTCCTTGGGCCCGGTTATTACATTGGGCCTCTGTGTTTGCCACTGCATATTTCACATACATGTTTAAACCTACAACGAGGGAAGTAGGGACAGTCATTACCAAGGCTTCATTACCATTATTATAGTATTTACATGACATATTTACACTTCCACTAGTTACCTGTGATTGTTGATGTGTTCTCGTGTTAGTGTTTGAAAGTGTAGCTGCATTTGAGTTATAATGACCACGATTTTGTGTATTTGTTCTATAACCCTGTGATTGCACTGACACATTGTTTTGTACTGTGGGAGATGTGATGTGTAATAGCCAATATTCACCGTGTATATTTCCCCAAGATAAATTTGGATTCTTTTCTATTTTTAGCCTAAATTGCTCGTCATAGGTGGCCCAGTTTTCTGACCTCGTTGCCGCTAATCTTATATCGCGCATATATTTTAACAATTCCTGTGCCCGTGTCCTGTATTTCTCAATGTAGACACTCATAAAAACCATAAATGCTGAAGTCCATTCATTTATGGACAAATAAACACCCGACGATCTTTTTTCAATGCAAATTTTCCCCCTTTTTAATTTCAAATCGCCCTCGTCAACCTCCTCAATTTCTTTTTGCGTTCTCAAAAGATAATGAAGCTCTATAAACTTTCCCGCCCAAATCTTTTCCTTAATTTTAAAAGGCACGTGTTCCCCTACTGTGTCATGAATGCTAGACTCTTGTGTCGGAGTGAAATCAATGGAATTATTTGCCATTTCAAAATTTTTGTGTGACGGGTCGTGCCTAAAAAAGGGGAATGCCCGTGTATCCTCCTCCGACTCATTACCTGATGATATTTCAGCATTTTCTTCTGGTCCTTGTGTCTCCACCTATCCCACCTCCTGTGTTTTCCTGACCATTCTTTTCCGTCCAACTCCGTCCTTCTTTTGAGTGATTTCTTCGTTCCGCACTCCCTGTCCTTCTTTCCTGCTGGTCATCCTCCTCTTCTTTCCAATGGCTCTTGATGGCGATCCCCTGGCATTTCTTTTGTTTGGCATCTTTTCGTTTAAATAATTTAACTAATTTCTGCAGCACCTGCTTTGTTGTCGACAGCAAATTAACAAGTGCCCAATACGGGAATTCCAAAATTCAGATTCCACCTGAGAGCGCCATCTATGGCCATGCCAAATATGGCAATGAGCTAAAGGCTGCAACACCCACACACCCACACAAATATTTGATTGAATTAAACCAGATTATTGAAAATATAAAATTTTGATAATGTCTAATATTTAATTACAATCCAAATTCAGACCTGTATCAAGCTTGAATATTGTGTCCATTTTTGCCCCAATTGTTCAGGGTTGGACCTCTGCGGGCGTATCCAGCTGCGCTCAGCGAAGCAGTTTATTTCTCTTATCTTCCTCCTCCTGTGTAAAGGAGCACATTAGCCATTATAACTGATTTCTAATTATAGCTGAGGTTTATGAAATTCATTTATAAAAAGTAGTGTGAATAAAGCAAAATGATAATTATTTTACAAATTGATCAGTTTAGTAATAGTTAATACAAGCTGCAATATGATTAAACTTAATCTGGTTTGAATTGCATGAAGGCAACACTGACTGGCAAGTCACTGCAATTAATGCCACATAGTGATTTAACTCTGTTATGTTTTAATTTTGTCTATAATTGACTTCTGAATTTAAGTAATTTTAAGCTCAAAATTATGAGTAGATCCTTATCAAAAATGGCACATGTTTGTCTTTCATGGAAGCCCTTTATTGACAGTTTTGAGGCTTTAAAATAAAGTGTAAATTTTCAAATAAAATAATACCACATCTCCTCATTTTTTTAATGTGAATACAATTACTTATGGTTTTGTTTTGTTCACATTTCACAACCCTGGAGCAGTTAAAAGAATTGAATTGTCTATGCATAAGGGGCATTGCACAAGTCATGTCTTCTTTGATTGTCTATGACAAAACACTAAATCCCTGGGATGTGTTTTAGTTGATTTTAGTCTCTGATGCATGATTTTTTATTATTTATTGTTTTTGGCTTTTAACTACCTTTCAGTAACTGGGAGTACTCTCAAATCGTACTTTCATGTTGATTTGACCTGTTGATACAATTTGTAATGTATTTTTGTTATTTAATGTTTACTTATTCAGTGTTATATCTAGTCTCACTATTTTTAATATATACCACCTTTGATAAGTGTTTAGTATGACGATAAATTTTCACTTTTGTTCTCGTACTAGGAACAACAAAATTATTTATTTTGTAAAAATTATTTCCGTACTCCATGTATACTTTACAACAAAGTTATTTGTATTTACCTGTGTACGTTATCTTATTTGGAGGCATTTTGTCCAAGGTTATGATATTGTTAAACATCTAACCCTCCTTGATTTATTAATTTTGTATTTACATCGTGTCATAGATCATATTTATTCGTTCTATGTATGTTCACTTGTTTTTGTTAATATGTCTTTTGATTGAGTTAAGCCATTTCAATTGATATTTTATAGTGTGTCTTTCTATGTTGTGATATTACACTATTGTTTCAGGTAGGGTGAAGGTTGGCGCCTATTAAAACGATTAAACCCGTTGCATTTGTTTGCACCTGTCCTAAGTCAGGAACATGATGTTCAGTGGTTGTCATTTGTTGATGTGGTTCATAAGTGTTTCTCGTTTTTTATATAGATTAGACCGTTGGTTTTCCTGTTTGAATGGTTTTACACTATTAATTTTGGGGCCCTTTATAGCTTGCTGTTCAGTGTGAGCCAAGGCTTTGTGTTGAAGGCCATACTTTGACCTATAATGGTTTACTTTTACAAATTGTGACTTGGATGGAGAGTTGTCTCATTGGCACTCATACCACATCTTCTTATATCTAATCCAGGAAAAAAAAGATGGGACGGTTGGAAAGCACTTCTTTTTTCAAGGTCCACCACCCATATAATTTAATAATATATCTATCAAAGTATATTTAAATGTGAATGTTGTTCACAATCCCAACAACGACATATTATTTATATAATGTGCCTTTCAAGTTCAACCCTCCTATACATATATTCTGGAAGAGCGCTTAGTACATTTTAGAAAAAAGAGAGCAAAGATACCAAGAAGGCAATCAAAAATCATTAGTTCAATTAGAACAGACAACACCATGTCCAAAATTAAAAAGGATGAAAAGACAATAACAAAACATTACACAAATTTTTTTTTTTTTTATAAAGATTGAACGACATTAGAACCCACCAAAAATGGGGTGACTCAGATGCTGCCAAAGGGTCAGAAGTTTCTGCTCCACATGTGACATGCCAAACCTATCAAAATAATTTTCCTTTTCAGGCTTTTGTCATTGTAACATGTCTACCACTTTGTTGTATTTACTTCAAAGACACATTCATAGAGATGTTTAAAATTACTAAATTTTTTTTATACGACCAGTTACTATTTAGTATTAGTAAATAGAAATCTATGAAATTTAAACACAAGGTTTATAACCACAAAAGGAAGGTTGGGATTGATTTTGGGGGTTATGGTCCCAACAGTTTAGGAATTAGGGGCTAAAAAGGGGCCCAAATAAGCATTTTTCTAGTTTCATGACAATAACTTGTGGAACGGTGTATGGATCTCTCGGAAATTATACCACAAGTTTCCATACCACAAAGGGATGGTAAGGATTGGCTTTGGGGGGTTATGGCTCAAACCGTTTAGGAATTAGGGGCAAAAAAGTGAGAAAAAACAAGGGTGTCCTGGTTAATGGACAATTACTTCAGTACAATGTTGTGTTTGAATTACCTCCCTTACACTGCTTTTAAATTATGTATAAAGAAACGTTGTATTGTTTTGAGGTGATTAGTTGTCAATAAATTTTTAGAAGTTACTATTTTAATTATTTTAAAAATGCTGATTAAGGTATATTAATTTTAGCCATGATTATGTATGTCATGTTCTATTTTAAGACTTTTATGATGTATTTAAATTGGTTATTATGGTTGCGAACTCCATTGGAAATTTGAATTGAGATTATGACCATATCTTGAGGGAAAGAATTTTTTTTGGAAAAGGGGGGGGGGAGGTTAAAAAAAAATTGGTGGGGGGATAAAAAAATTGTTGTGGGGGAGGGGACAATTTTTTCTCCTCAAGATTTCAGAAATCAATAAGAAAATTTCTGCAAATATTTTTTTTTTTGAAAAAAAGGGGGGGGGGGGAATTTGAAAAAGAAGGGGGGAGGTCAATTTGCAACATCATAGTGTAATGCACTAAAGCAAAAAAAAAGGGGGGTACATTTTTTTTTTTTTGGGGGGGGGGGTCAATTCACAACAGCATAGTGTATTGCACAAAAGCAAAAAATTGTATATAAATTCAAATCATATAACCAATTCTAAGTTCTTTGACTACAGTTATTCTGAGTCAAATATTGAATTACAATCCAAATTCAGACCTGTATCAAGTGCGAATATTGTGTCCATTTTTGTCCCAACTGTTCAGGGTTGGAACTCTGCCGTTGTATCCAGCTGCGCAATTTTGATAAGATTAACTGCTTAAAATCATATTTTAACATCCTACAAATATGGACTAGTGTAGGTTTTGGGTTTTACTTTGAATTCACGAATAAAAAAAGTTTTTAAATTTCAAAATGAAATGTCAAATTCTACAATGGATGTTCTTTTAAAGTATTTGGAAGAGCTTCCCTATTTGTAATCTCTAAAAAAGAATTTAAAAAAATATTTCTGTTATAAATCATATTGGATTTTAAGTTTAAACTAGTACATTTTGTATCAACCTAATACACAGTTCACAGTCGTCTTTAAAAATTAAGTTAAATTATGTCATAATGCATAATGAATATATACTTTTTTTCTAGAATAAACAGGATTGAAAAAATGTTGGAAGGCAGTGATAAAAGGACTTGCACACTGGAAGATTTGTTCTGGAAAATTGAAAAGGCCAGTTTTTTCTTTGATGTTGACAGAAATGAACTTGTTTTGAAGTATCTTATAGAAATAGAAAAATCTTTCAATGCTGTTAAGGGCAAAGGCAATGCTTTGGCCCCGGTATTTGGAATGTTTTACCTCCTCAAAGGAAAGTTTAACTTAAGGAGAAAGCAGCCTCAAAATGCAGTACAAGATCTTACAATGGCCCAAAAATTGTTCAATGAACACAAATTTGTACGACATCGTTATATGTATCATATTACAAATATTTATGAAAAAATAGCTCAAGCTTATCTTATGCTTGATCCACCTGCAGTTGAAGAAGCGAGATCAAATCTCTATGCTGCCTTTAAAAAAGCTGCTGAAAAAGTTGAAAATTTTTATAATTTGGACATACCTTCATTTATTGCGAGTATTGGTCGATTGTGGTATGTATTAGGGCTAAAAGAAAATGAATTGAAAAATACAAAAGAGGCGAAAGAATATTTTGAAAAATCAGTTAGATATTACACAAAAGCTATGGCACTAGACACTCAAATGAATCTACACAAGTATGACAATTATGCTGATAAATTAGTGAAGCGAGCTGAATCCTACGTCGAGCTTGGATTGTTGAAAGTTTCTGGTGCATTAAGTGATGCTGTAAAAGATATCAAAGAAGCAGATAACATCAGAAGGAAAATCCTACAGCCACCTCATTATAAATGTACACATACACCACATCTGGTGGGCAAAATCCTCTTGCACAAGGCACGGCAGGAATATGCCAAGAAACAAAAAGGTATGGTTCTTTTTATAGCTGTATGTTATGGGTTTTGTTCATTGTTAAAGGCTGCGTAGTTACTTATAGTTGCTTATATCCATGTCCTATGGTCTTTGGTGAATAGATGTCTCATTGGTTATCATACTGTACCATTTAAGGCCAAAAGGCCAAGTGAGCTTTTCTCATCACTTGGCGTCCGTCGTCATCATTTGTCGTCATCAACTTTTACAAAAATCTTCTCCTCTGAAATCACTGGGCCAAACTTTGCCACAATCATCATTGGGGTATCTTGTTTTAAAAATGTGTCCAATGACTCCGCTTGCCAACCAAGATGGCCGACATGGCTAAAAACAGAACAAAGGGGTAAAATGCAAGTTTTGCTTATTATTTTTAAAAACCACTATCAATAGAGAAATTCTGACTGGAGCAAAAAGGAGCAAAAATGTTCAAAATGTTGAGCTCTAAATATTGTCCATTTACGTCAAAACATTCAGACACCTTCTTATAGGAGTGATTGCTTAAATGACGAATTTTACCATTTTTAAATTTTTTTACTTATTATCTCGACAATTATAATAGATATACAAAAACTTACAATAGCAAAAATTATCAGCAAGACAAGATCTACAAATAAGTTCAGTAACTAAAATCATCAGACGACTCCTTATTAGAGTTATTGCCTTTTAATGCCAATTTTATTTGGCATTTTTGCCCAATATCTTAAAAACTATAATAGATTAATAGAAACTTTAAAAATCAAAAATGATCAGCAAGATAAGATCTTTGAATAAGTCAACATGACCAAGGTTGTAAGTTGACTCCTTATTGAAGTAATTGCCCTTTCATGATGATTTTCCCCATTTTTTCCCATTTTTGCCTATTATCTTGAAAATTGTAATAGATAGATAGAAACTTTAAATAGCACAAATGATCAGCAAGACATGATCTACATATAAGCCATTATGGTCGAAATCTTCAGTCGACTAGTTAGTGGAGTTACTGCCCTTTAATGAAATTTTTTGCATTTTTTAAAAAAAATAAATAGATGAATAGAAACTTTAGAAACTTTAGAAAGGAAAAATTATCAAAAGGATAAGTTCTACAAATATGTCAACATGACTGAAGTTGTCAGTTTAAAACTCTTAATAGAGTTGTTCCCCTATAATGATTTTTACTAAAAGGTGGCCATTGTTGAAGATGCATGTGAGCAACACAGGTTCTTTAGAGCCTCTAGTTATATGTAAAAAGAATGTTTTGTCTTTGACCGCTTTTCATTGTATGTTCTTCTATTTATCATTTGTTATCCCATTGATTGCGATTAAAATAAGGAGAAGTGGGTGCTCAAAAAAAGTTTTAATACCATGTCTCAATTTAGGAACTTGTTAACAGTTGTTTTTTTATTTATAGCTAAATGTTCTTAGGGAATTAGATGTAGATGACAGATCTTTCATAGTCTCTGTTAAATCTACAACTTTACTTTCTACACGATGTGAAGCAGTTTAGAGCATGATATATTTTGGTGGCAGTTGTTTACTGATGAAAACTGTATGCCAACCTCTGGATGTCTTTTGTTTTTTATGCCCCACCTACGATAGTAGTAGGGGCATTATGTTATCTGGTCTGTGCATCCGTTCGTTAATCCGTCCCTTCGTCTGCCCGTCCCGTTTCAGGTTAAAGTTTTTGGTCAAGGTAGTTTTTGATGAAGTTGAAGTCCAATCAACTTGAAACTTAGTACACATGTTCCCTATGATATGATCTTTCTAATTGTAATGCCAAATTAGAGTTTTGACCCCAATTTCACAGTCCACTGAACATAGAAAATGATAGTGCGAGTGGGCAGGTTAAAGTTTTTGGTCAAGGTAGTTTTTGATGAAGTTGAAGTCCAATCAACTTGAAACTTAGTACACATGTTCCCTATGATATGATCTTTCTTAATTTTAATGCCAAATTAGAGTTTTTACCCCAATTTCACGGTCCACTGAACATAGAAAATGATAGTGCGAGTGGGGCATCTGTGTACTATGGACACATTCTTGCTTTTTAATGTTTTAGGATGCAATTTTATTGACTTCAACCCCACACCTGTAAAACGTATTTAAAGGCTTATAGCTCTTTTGTAATAAATACATATAAAGATGTTGATACATTTTATAAAATGCTTAAATATAAATTTTATTTTGAAATAGGAAATGCTATCAACCATCTTTGGGAAGGAATAATGTTTTATGAGATTACCAGAGATATGACAAAATGTGGTGGACTACATCCTATACACATTCATAGGCAGGAATATGAGGAAATAAAAGCTGAGCATCTCTGGGCTTTACAGCAGGCAAGAGAGACACAGAAAATTGAACCAGCCATCAAGTTTTACAATGTGAGGAGAACTTATCATTTCTTATTACTTATTACTGATTTCATGTCAACAGTACCATTCAAAATACATCTCTATGTTATTTTATGTATTTTACCATTTTCAACACTTACTGGTACACGATCCATCCCTAATTATAATGCTATTATATTTTCATATTTCAATGGAATCAAAATTCTACACTTCATTTTTACTGCTCTTTTTGATGAACTTTCTAGTTTATCCTACTAAAATGTTGATCTGTAAATTAGGGGACGACCATTTGATTTTGAAAGGGGGCAGTTTCATGTTACTTTTTGGAGGAGCAGAAAATAAATATTCTGATTGAAAATATATAATCTGGCGGCTTTTAAGATAGAAATAAATATTCTGACCTCATCAAATTTGCCAGTCCACTCCCCCCCCCCCTCTTTACCCCTCAGAATTAAATGGTCGTCCCTTAATACCTCAGGATAGTTATCTTAAGATGATATTCAGGACAATTAAGATTATTCTGTTATATAATTTCAGGATTTTGAAAAGGGAAAATTTGAAGAAGATAGACAAAAAGCAAGAAGTGAAAGAGAGACAATAAAACACAGTGAATATGTTCCAATAGAAGATGTCAAAGCAGAAATAATGATGGCTGGTCCAGGTAACATGACTTTCATGCCTGTGAGAGCAGATGACAGTGACAGTGTTTCTGAAGAGGAGAACATTGAAATGATTGAGTTCAAAGAAGTGGTATTTGAAGATTATAGGTTAAAAGATGATGAGGTGATGGATTTTGATAAATTATTTAAAAGAATGGAGAATCCTGATGATTTTTCATCATCATCAGAGGAAGAGGATGTTGCCATGGAAACAGTCATTGAAGGTAAAGGTTTTGAAAGTTTAATGGAAATTCAAGAAGATATTGACCAAAATTCTTCAAAGTCTGCAAAGACAGATTTAACAATTGAAGAGGATGATGTTTTTGATGAAAAAGGTGAAACTGAAGAAGAAAGTGGGAAAAACTATTTGTCAGAAATTCAAAGAAAGTCAACAGAAAGAAGCAGTCTTTCTTCAACTTCTTCTCAAGATATGAGCACTAAGGAAAAGAGGGAACGTTTCAAAAGAAAAAGGTCAAGAGATCCTTCAATGCAGGCATTTCTTGACAGTGTTGAGAGAGAAACATCAGAAAAGGGCAAGGCTGTTTTAAAGTCTACTAGATCAACATCACAAGATAAGAGTTTTGATCTAGAAATGCCAGTATTGGAATATTTAAACATTGTAGATGCTAAAGATAAAGAAGAAAAAAAAAAATTGTTGGAAGACATGAAACAAAAATATCCATCTGTACAAGAGGAGGAAAAAGAAGGTAACTAAACAATTCATTCATTTAAGGAAGCAGTTTAATTGATTGATTAAGGTATTTTGAAAGTATTGATTCGGGTAAAAAATAATAACATGGGTGCAGCCTCATTTAAATGGGAATAATTCCAGTATGTGTTTATGCTCCCGCCGTAGGCGACGGGGCATTAAGTGTTACCCTTGACCGTCCGTCTTTCTGTCTTTCTGTCCTTTCGCCTTTCAATCCGTCCCATTTTCGTTGCAAAGCTTGAGCAGGGGCATTCCTGTCCTCAGACACATTCTTCTCTTATATTTTTTTGGGGTATGAAAATATTAAACCCCATTTAGGACTCATTTATGACCTCCAAAAATGAAGTTTAAATTCAAAATCAAGAATTTTAAATATCATGATAAGGGATTAAAATCTTTATCAGAAATTGCATAAATCTTAAAAAAAGATTTTTAATTGGTCATCACAGATTAAGTACATGATAATAAATCTGTGGAGTTAGTTATCTCAGAATTTTGTAATTAAATTTGTAATCATATACTTTTAGAATAAGTAACTTATTTGAAATAAAGTGATTTTATTATTGTAAAATGATGCAATTTGATATGTAAGCATAATCTATTTGTATATTAACATCTTTTAAATATTGACTATTTTATAGAAAATAGATGGGAGACAACCAGACAATCTGAAGATACAGAAGAACAAAAGGCCACCATGACAGTTGGAAGAAAACGTCAGCTACAACTTTCAAGATCTGAAGAAGTGTCCCGTCAAAAATCAAGCCGAGATGTTAAAGAATAAACTGCATACACTGTCTTTCAAGGCATAACCTAATGTGTGTTCATTTGATATATGCAATATTATTTAAAGTCAGTTAACTGGTTGTGGGTTTCGATGGAACTCCTTTCCTACCCTACATCTTTTTGTCAAGCCTGCAACATTTTGATCAAGAAACAGTATTCACAGCAAGATAATGAAAATATTTTTGTTCATTATTCAGTATTTTACTGATAAAAGGACTTTGTGGTTTGTTTTTTTTGCAGTTTGAATTTAGATACAGGCTTGTGTTCTTTTAGACATCAATAATTATGTCAAACCTTCATAGGTTTTAATGAAAATTTGGTAGAAGCTTTTTTTTTTATCAAGAGCTAAAATCAGAATGAAAATTTTTTAAAAATACATGTTCCATTTTTCCTTATTTCCTGATAAGTGTACTTAGTTTTTTTTTGCAGTTAACATTTACATTCAGTCTTTGGATACATTGTTTACACTTCAATAACTTTCTGAAACTTTCATGGAATGTTGTGGAACTTGAAATAAGCTTCTTCAAGATCAAGAAATAGCATCCTAAGAAAAAAGTTGATAATCTTTTTTTCTCTAGATTTTACTGATAAATGGACTTTGGCAATTAACATTACGCTATTACACTGACAGCAGCAATCACAGACGAAACCCAGGTGGAACCCTTGTTGAATTTTAAAATAGAAGAGCCTTTAATGTTTGGTTTTCTTGGATTTGGACAAAAATGAGGTGTGAACAAGTGTATATTAATTTCAATTTATTATCTCATGGTTTACACATAAGATGATTTTTTTTTATGATAGGGCTTCAATAGGATTAATGATTACAAGTTAATTCGAATTGTTAATGAATAACATGGTATTTTTTTTTTATCAGAATTCTTTTCTTTAGTAGATTTTTTTATTCATGCTCCACTGAGTCTAAACACAGTACTTGGTTTATAGTAATATTTTCTTACCACTACTAATTCGTGACATAAAATAACATATCAACCTACAGTTTTTATCTGGCTTGAAACATTGCAAAATGACATAGAGGTGATTATCAAGGGAGCGACATAAGAAATAAGAAGATCTTAGTATATCCAATTCTTAAATTTAGATGTGTTATGGTCTGATGTTTCCATCTGGCATATGGCAATTATTTTTTATCTCAATAATCTCTCTTATTCTAAGCATAAATGATTTCAGTCATACTATTCAGGCTGTCCCTTTAACAACTGGAGCTTGTTTATCTAAAGCCTTGTTTAACATAGCATAATTGTTGACAGACTAGGATTTTCTTCAAATTCAATTTAATATAAAAAGGTGTAGTTTGCAGGTCTAGAAGAAACCAATTTGGTTGAAATTTTTGAAATTCTCTATGTAATATTTTAGGATTATTTACATAAATATGATCAATAAATGTAACCCTTGGGCATTTACAATCAATTGTTGAAGATTGTTTGAATCTAAAACATTCAGCCATTTTTTAGGAGTTTCTTTGGTGCTTTAAAATTCATATTAAAATCACCCATTATTATTATATCTGAATTTATGGTCATTGCCACTCTTGATTGTAGAAAATGAACATTAGCTTTTGATATGCCCTTGTTCAAGAATACATTAGTGTTGTTCTATTATGATTTAATCAATTATTTTGAGAGTGTCTTCGTCAATTTTTTATTGTGTATAAAATGTAACTTCAAGTTAGTTTGGGATTCTTTTGTTATTTTGGATCGCAAGTGACAGCAAATGATTGATCCATATTTATTTCTGAAATTAGAAAATTCTTTTACAGAAATATAATTTTAAATATGTAGGACTTTTTATATGAATGAAGATATGCATATGCTTTTATCATTGTAGCAACTTATTTTTACAATGTACAGCAAGTTTATCTATTTTAATATACATGTATAGCAAGACGTTTTTATTTAGGCAACTCAATTTTTTTCCTCAACAAAATATGTGAATTTTGCACAGATTGTGGCTTGATGATAATATGTTTTATTTTTAGATATTTATAGAATAGGCAGCACTTATATTTTTGTTATGAATTTATTTGCATAAAAGTACACATATTGAAATAATGGCATTGGTTGTGTGTTAAGCATTTAATTTGTTATAATAGCTTACAATTTTTATTTGTTTGTAGTGAAACAAGTTATTATTAAGATAAAGTTTTACATATTTTACTAACTGTTATATATTTTACAAACTGTTGATATGTTTTAAAAATAAATATCTTTTATTTAATAATGACATGCATTAAATATCTGCAATTTAAAATCTTTCATTTATAAATTATTTTTGAGTCTTTATTTTTTCAAAATGCAATGGGTTTTATTTATGCTTTTAATCTTTTCATAGGGGTGGCTATGTTTTCTTTCATTTTTTTAATTCTTTGGGTTTAATTTGTCTCCCTTAGAATAATATAGTACTCGTTCCTGTAATGCAAATACAAAGCTAATACTGGAATACTAAACTGAAACTGGCTTCTTAATGTCTAGATTTATACTTTTCCCTGTTATACTTCTGTTACATGGCCGTGTTTTAATTGTGTTGTCTTATAACGACATAGTATCTAATATATTACTTTTGTTCCATACTTTTTTCAGCACATACAAAAGTGGCATATTTTTGTTATGGATTTATTGATATATTAGTGTTGAAATAATGGCAATAGTCATGATTGATTGATCAGTGATAAACGCCACTTTCAGCACTATTGTGTCATTTCATGGCGGTAAGTTTTTATTGGTGGAGGAAGCTGAAAAGAACCACTGACCTTTGGTAGGAAAACTGACAATCCTAGTTAATAAAGACTGGAGTTGAACGCACCTGCCACGTGCCTGATTCAAACTCACAATGTCAGTGTTGACAGGCTAGTGATACAGTAGCTCATCAACTCAGCCACCGAGGCCTACCGGCAATTGTCATGTGTAAAGCATTTAATTTGTTATGGCTTACAATTTTAATTTGTTCCCAGTGAGACAAGCTTTTGTTAAGATATAGCTAAGTATTATTAGATATTGCAAGTTTGTTGCCGAAGTTTACTGGATCATGAAATTGATAAACAATCAACACAGAGCATGTGGAGCATGTGACAAATAAGTGAATGAATAGAGCCATGGCATTTTTTTTTTATATTTTCCATGCATTCCCATTTGTTCATTAAACTTTTCCTTAACAATGTTAATTGATTTATTGTATTAACTTTGTTCTTTAAGAATCAGTTATTACTATTTACCTTCCAGTGCATGTTTGTTTACATTCTTTCATTACAGTTTACACTTGAGCTGTGCGATGGCTGAAGTTCTAACAAGAGGTCCTAGTTAGGGTCACTGCATATGGGAAAATATCGGAGAATTAGTGTACGGGAAGACAATATTTCAATAGCAGTTCATTTATGAAGATTTTGATAATATAAAAGCCATTCAAGTAGATAAAACATATATTCAACTTTTTTCTTAAATTTGAAGTTTTCTTTCTTTTTTTTATTCTTTGGGTTTATCTCCCTTAGAATAATATTGTACTCATTCCATCACAAAGCAAATACTGCAGTTTCAATTAATAAAACCAAAATCAAACTGGTCTCTTGCCTTGATTTATACTATTTCCTGTAATGCTTCTGCTACATGGCTGTGTTTTAATTGTTTTTTCTAATAACGATATATATATATATATGTCTACTATATTACTTTTGTTCCATATTTTTTCAGGACCTACAAAAGTGGCATATTTTTGTTATGGATTTATTGATATATTAGTATTGAAATAATTGCAATAGCCATGTGTAAAGCATTTAATTTGTAATTATAGCTTACAATTTTAATTTGTTCCCAGTGAGACAATTTTGCAAGTTTTTGTTAAGATCTACATGTAGTTGTATATATTTTGCAAACTGTTGATATGTTTTAAAAACTATTACTTTTTAAAAATGACTACATTTTAATATTTCATTTTGAAATTTGAATATTTTTTATCGGTCTTTTATTTTTCAATTTTTATACACCATTATTATGGTATACCAATGTCTGTCAGTCTGTCTGTCCGTCTGTCCATCCAACAACACTTCGTACAATAACTCAAATTCTCTTTCACCTATTCCTATATAACTTTAACACAACATTAGAATTGATAGAAGAAAGCTATACAATTTTTATTTTTATTTTTGACTTTGTCATTCCAGAGTTACAGAACTTTGACCCTTAGATTTAAGGCAGTTTTTCACAAATCGCCACTAACTTCATTACTCCTTAATTGATTTTCTTCAAACTTTTATTTATTGTGGGGATTGATAAAAAGATTATCCCCTGCGATTTTTGAAATTTTTACATGTAGGTTTGTCTTTCTAGAGTTATGGAACATTGAATTTTACACTTCTAGAAAATTTTCACTAATCATGCTCTAACTTCAGTATGCCTGGGATGATTTCCTCCAAACATTACATTATTGTTGGGATTAAAAAAAAGGAAGATCACTTTTGATTTTTTATATTTATCAGTTTGTTGCTCCAGAATTATGGGACTTTAATTGTCAGATTTTAGTAAATGTTTCACACATTGTACCATTACTTGAGTTTGCTTGGACTGATTTAGTGGAAACTTTACATTATTGTTGGAATTGGTGAACATAACAAACTGTTTGATTTAAACAGTATCCTCAGGCATGTTTTTCTACAGAGCCATTTTTGTCGAGCCTTTGACTTTAGTCGAAAAAGCGAGACATAGCGATCCTACATTCCGTCGGCGGCGTCCACAAATATTCACTCTGTGGTTAAAGTTTTTGAAATTTTAATAACTTTCTTAAACTATCCTGGATTTCTACCAAACTTGGACAGAAGCTTGTTTATGGTCATAAGATAGTATCCAGAAGTAAATTTTGTAAAAATAAAGTTCCATTTTTTCCGTATTTTACTTATAAATGGACTTAGTTTTTCTGCTGGTAAATATTACATTCACTCTGTGTTTAAAGTTTTTAAAATTTTAATAACTTTCTTAAACTATCCTGGGTTTGTACCAAACTTGGACAGAAGCTTGTTTATGATCATAAGATAGTATCTAGAAGTAAATTTTGTAAAAAAGTAAATCCATTTTTTCCTTATTTTACTTTTAAATGGACTTAGATTTTCTGCCAGGAAACAACACATTCACTCTGTGGTTAAAGTTTTTAAAATTTTAATAACTTTCTTATACTATTTTGGATTTGTACCAAACTTGGACAGAAGCTTGTTTATGATCAAAAGCTAGTATCTAGAAGTAAATTTTGTAAAAAAATAAATCCATTTTTTCCTTATTTTACTTTTAAATGGACTTAGATTTTCTGCCAGGAAACAACACATTCACTCTGTGGTTAAAGTTTTTAAAATTTTAATAACTTTCTTATACTATTTTGGATTTGTACCAAACTTGGACAGAAGCTTGTTTATGATCAAAAGCTAGTATCTAGAAGGAAATTTTGTAAAAAAATAAATCCATTTTTTCCTTATTTTACTTTTAAATGGACTTAGATTTTCTGCCAGGAAACAACTTATTCACTCTGTGGTTAAAGTTCTTAAAATTTTAATAACTTTCTTATACTATTTTGGATTTGTACCAAACTTGGACAGAAGCTTGTTTATGATCAAATGCTAGTATCTAGAAGGAAATTTTGTTTTCTTCCAGTTTACATTATCATTCAGTCTGCAGTTAAAGTTTTTAAACATTTATTAGATTCATAAACTATCCTGGAATTTTACCAAACTTGGACAGAAGCTTCTTACAATCAAAAGATAGTATCAAGAGGAATATTTTTATTGATTTACTTCCTCATTTTTGTTGAGCCTGCGATTAACAGAAAAGGTAGCCAAGACACTGGGTTCAGCGGAACCCTTACGACTTTAGTCGAAAAAGCGAGACATAGCGATCCTACATTCCGTCGTCGGCGTCCACAAATATTCACTCTGTGGTTAAAGTTTTTGAAATTTTAATATCTTTCTTAAACTATCCTGGATTTCTACCAAACTTGGACAGAAGCTTGTTTATGATCATAAGATAGTATCCAGAAGTAAATTTTGTAAAAATAAAATTCCATTTTTTCCGTATTTTACTTATAAATGGACTTAGTTTTTCTGCTGGTAAATATTACATTCACTCTGTGTTATAATTTTTTTAAATTTTAATAACTTTCTTAAACTATCCTGGGTTAGTACCAAACGTGGACAGAAGCTTGTTTATGATCAAAAGATAGTATCTAGAAGTAAATTTTGTAAAAAAATAAATCCATTTTTTCCTTATTTTACTTTTAAATGGACTTAGATTTTCTGCCAGGAAACAACACATTCACTCTGTGGTTAAAGTTTTTAAAATTTTAATAACTTTCTTATACTATTTTAGATTTGTACCAAACTTGGACAGAAGCTTGTTTATGATCAAAAGCTAGTATCTAGAAGGAAATTTTGTAAAAAAATAAATCCATTTTTTCCGTATTTTACTTTTAAATGGACTTAGATTTTCTGCCAGGAAACAACATATTCACTCTGTGGTTAAAGTTTTTAAAATTTTAATAACTTTCTTATACTATTTTGGATTTGTACCAAACTTGGACAGAAGCTTGTTTATGATCAAATGCTAGTATCTAGAAGGAAATTTTGTTTTCTTCCAGTTAACATTAACATTCAGTCTGCAGTTAAAGTTTTTAAACATTTATTAGATTCATAAACTATCCTGGAATTTTACCAAACTTGGACAGAAGCTTCTTACAATCAAAAGATAGTATCAAGAGGAATATTTTTATTGATTTACTTCCTCATTTTTGTTGAGCCTGCGATTAACAGAAAAAGTAGATGAGACACTGGGTTCAGCGGAACCCTTACGAATTTTATTTGCTTATGATGAAATGCCTTCAAAATATCCCAATATGCACAATTATAGGGATATCATGTGCTCTTAGCGCAGCTGTTTATCATATATTAGACATATGTATGATTTATTTGATTTTTTAATAGTTTTATAGATCTGGCTATAGTGTAATATGTATTTCATTTACAAATATAATGCTTGTTTTATTTGAATTTTAAATCTTTTCATAGATCTGGCTATAAGTTTTCTTTAAATGTTGAATCTCTTTGGGTTTGTCTCCCTTAGAATAGTATTGTACTTATTCTTGTACCACAAATTCAACAAATAAAACAAAAACAAAACTATCTTCTTGTCATGATTTATGCTATTCCCTTTTACTGCTTCAGTTAAATGGCTGTGTTCTTATTGTGTTGTCTAACAACGGCATATATCAAATATTTTTTTGAAAGATACTCTTTTTAGGACATACAAAAGTGGAATTCCTCATTTTCTTCATATTCTACAGATTGGTGTAAAAACTGATTTTTTTCACAGTAATATCATCTTATTCAGACCTTACACATACACAGTGAATCCCAGATTCTTTGATGAAAAAAAAGCATGTTCTTGTCTATTGTTGAAGCCACACATCTTACAAAACATAAAACAGCATTATTAGTGTGGAAAAGAGTTATCTCCCATGCTAAATAATTTCTTCATTAAAGAAAATATAAGTCATCTCCCTTATACTGTAATTTTAATTGACATAACTATTCAAATATACTTCAATGAACATAAGGCATACAATTAAAATTGTTTAATAAATGGTTAATACTATACATCTTATAAAACCTTGCTATACATTTCTTATAAATCATCTTATGTTATAAATTATTGCATATTAAAAACATTTTTAAATCTGACCTCAACTTAAAAAAGTTTCATGACATGAGTTTAATATTTTATTATAACATGATACAATAAAATGGTATTCATCTTCCATTGCAGCAATATATCAATTTTAAATATTAAATGCATGCACAATGACCATATATATATATATATACAAATATGAACATTACATACTAAAAAGAGCGCTTGCCCATATTATTAGGGTACACTTTTTAATCCACTAAACATTGCTAAATACAATACAAGTCTTTTTAAGGATCTTCCCCAGTGTGTACTCTCATATGAGCTTTAAGGTTTCCATTCTGAGAGAACTCCTTACCACACACACTACATTCATAACCTTTATCACCAGTGTGTTTTCTTATGTGTAACTTTAATGATTGACTGTGCCTAAAACTTTCACCACACACATCACATGTATAACATTTTTCACTACTATGAATTTTCATGTGCGATTTTAAATTACCACTTTGATAAAAACCTTTACCACACAAATCACATTTATAACAATAGTCACCAGCATGTGATCTTTTGTGAACTTTTAAATGATGTGCAAGTTTATATTCCTTTCCACATATATCACATTTATGAGGTTTTTCATCGCTATGTACTGTTAAGTGTGATTTCAAATGTTCCGTCTTACCAAAATATTTACCACAAATTTCACATTTATAAGGCCTCTCACCAGTATGAGTTCTGAGATGTCCCTTCAAGTGTGGTCTCTGCCTAAAAGCTTTTCCACACACATCACACTTGAAAGGTTTTTCACCATTGTGTATTCTGATGTGTATTTGCAAAGTCCCAGTGTTTTTAAATTTAGCACTGCATACATCACAAGAATAGGGTTTATCATTTGTATGTGTTTTTAAATGTTCTTGTAAATGATGGCTGTGCCTAAAATCTGTACCGCAAACTTTACACTTAAAAGGTTTTTCACCAGTATGTATTCGCATGTGTCCTACTAAGTAATCATTACGAATAAACCTTTTACCACAAAGTTTACACTCATAGGGTTTGTCACCAGTATGGGTTTTCATATGGGTTTTCAAAGTTTGTCGTGCTTTAAATGCTTTAAAACATATATCACATTCAAAAGAATTCCTTGTTTTATCTGAATGTGTTTTTTTATGATGTTGAAAGCTTTCTCTCCAACCAAATGTTTTGTTGCAAACTTCACATTTATATGGCCTTTCGCCAGTATGTATTCTCTTGTGTGACTTTAAGTCAGAACCTTGATTAAACTTTTTACCACAAAACTCACATGTGTGAGGTTTATCACCTGTATGTAATCTCATGTGGATTTTTAAGTTCAATTTGCGAGCAAAACACTTATTGCAGACATCACATTCAAAGGGTTTCTCACTTGAATGTATAATCATATGAGCCTTTAAATAATTATCCTGTGCAAAGTCTTTATTGCATACATTACATTTATATGGTTTCTCTCCAGTGTGTATTTGCATGTGTTTCTGTAAAAAATCTCTCTGTCTTAACTGTTTACCACAAACACCACATTTGTATAAAGGTCTTTCACCAGTATGTGTTCTCATGTGTCTAGATAATTTACTACTATCACTAAACTCTTTGTCACATACATCACATTTATATGGTTTTTCACCAGAATGTATTCTCATGTGCATCTTTAAAGCATTTCCATAAATAAAATCTTTGCCACATATGTCACATTTATATGGTCGTTCACCATTATGTATTCTCATGTGTGGTGGTATACTAGTCCTGCTTCTAAACTCTTTATTACAAATTTCACATTTGTATGTTTTTTTCTTTTGAGTATGAGTTTTCAAGTGCGTTTGAAAGTGGTCCTTTCGGTGATACTGTTTGTTACATGAAATACAATTGTAAAGTTTTTTTTCACTGTTTTGTGCCATCATATATGTTGTTACTAACACAACTTATCACTCAATAGTGTACCACTAACATTTACAAAATGTATGTGATATACTCGACTCAAATATCAGTTGTTGCCAATTAGTTAAAACTGCGACTATGATACAGTTTGTGTTGTGGACTACTTCTCTCATCTTCTTTTCATCAAAAAGTTAGCATTAGATAAACTTGTTTATTTTTCATGGTAGTCTCTAATCTGCAGTATCAGTAAAGCTTTAATAGAGGCAACAGTCAAAAGAAAACCTGTAAAAACATAAAATCAGAATTGAATAAAAATAAATACAAGAAGTTAAAAAGTACTATTGAAAGTTTATCATATCATGAAAGCGACACAAGCTACGAGATATATAAAAAAATTTAAAATATGATTTTTTTTGTTCAATCATTAACCCCTTAGCTAGAGATGGATTACGCATAAATTATGCATGTTCAGTTATTAAAAGGAAAAGAATGTCAACATTGAAAGTGAAACAAAGGTAAATCATTTGATTGACTGATTCGATCCACAAAAAACTCATTCTTATACATTTATACAGGTAAAAAGTTTTTAACCTATAACATGAAATCAAACAGACATAGAAGAATCCAATTGCACGAGGTCGCTATCTATTTATATTTATGTTTATGTTTATATCGTGTTATGTGACCCTTGTCAGTTTTCAGAGGTCCATAGTTAATTAGATGGCGTCTAGACTAAAATACACAGGAAATTCTTATATATATCATCTAGTATATATGCATTGTTAACTGTTTATTTTAGACTTTTTGTAATTTGGATATGTGTTTTAGTATGTTATAAATCAAACATGAGAATTTGAGTCAAATCAGTGAACATGATTTTGACAGTTAATGCCCCTTTAAAAATCAATACATTGTATATCAAAGCAAAAATGTACTGCAGGTAAATGGTAAGATGGAATAGTTTGATATTTTTTAAAACTTTCAGATGTCTTATTGATATGTGTCGAATAGAAATTGATTGTGGAATATCTGTTTGTCAGATACAGACATTGATAGAATCAGTGGAATGACCTGCAAAATATAAATGTATGAAGATCAGGACAATGGCCTCTTGATTTGATCAATGTTGTCCCTTAAAAATTTCATAACTTGTCCAGAATTTATTTATTTATTGGAGCCTTATAAAAGGCTACTAGGCACTTATCTTTTTCAGAAGAATGTATGTTGAATCCAGGTTTCCTTGCATTTTTCTTTTATTTTGTTTTTTATTTGTTGTTTTTAATGTTGCTCAGTTAAAGATGTTTTTACACTTTCTGAGGAGTTGCACTGACAAACTGTTGCAGTAATATACTAAGGTCAAAATTTTAAGCTCAAAGGGGCATAACTCTTAGAAAAAATTAATCATAATTTCCTCTTGATATATGCACTTCTACATATTACTTCTTTATTATCTAAAGTTTCATGAAATCCTGTTGTATAGTTTCAGAGAAGTTGCAATGACAAGTACAGGTCTGTGGACTGAAGGACAGACTGACTGGTCAAAAACTTTATACCCAACACAACTTTGTTTGCTTTGGGTATAATAATCCCAATGTAGTTGCATTTTAGTCCTTTTATCTATAAATTTGTCACCTTTTTCTACTTTATTCATGATTTCATAAGTATTATCATCCCTCGCCCATTGAAATTTCAGTTGAAAAAAAAGTAGACGGTACAGATAATATTTTTATTAAAGTTTTCGGGATAATTAACAAAATTATAAGAATGAGGATAAAATCTTCATTTAAGTCAATAAATCCTTTATGAAATCTGACAATTTGGACATGTTATGTTATCGGTAGATCTTATTGCTTCATTAGTTTTCTTTCTATCGCCTTTTGCTTTTTGACAAAATTACAAAAAAATTGTTAAAAATAATCATTCAAGGAAAATAACTCCTATAAAAAGAATTGACATTTTCAACCATTTTGACTTATTTGCAGACCTTATTGTCCTGAACATCTTTGACATTTAAAAGTCATCTGTCTCAACTACTAAAATTATGGTTTAACTTTTTACAAAAAATGCATGTGTAAAAAAACATTTGTCAGTGGCAATCACTCATATGGGCTAAAGCTTAATTTATAATTTAGGACATATTAAATTATTTGCGAACCTACTTTGCTGAACATTTTCACTTGCTATTTATAGTTTCTATCTATTATGGTTTTTCGCAAAAAATGAACAACAATCATCTTTCAAAAGCAATAAATTTTATATTTTCAAGTGATGATTTTGTTTATATATAGAGATAAGTCAGGAACCTAAAGTTCAGTGGTTGTCGTTTGTTGATGTGAATCATAAGTGTTTCTCGTTTTTTATATAGATTAGACTGTTGGTTTTCCTGTTTGAATGGTTTTACACTAGTCATTTTTGGGGCCCTTTATAGCTTGCTGTTCGGTGTGAGCCAAGGCTCTGTGTTGAAGACTGTACTTTGACCTATAGTGGTTTACTTTTACAAATTGTGACTTGGATGGAGAGTTGTCTCATTGGCACTCATACAACATCTTCTTATATCTAATTACTTTGCTAAACAATTTGACATATTTACACATTTGGTATTTAGCTTAATTTTGTCCCAGAATAACCCATCTGTGATCAGGCGATTGTCAACCTTCCCATGGATAGAAACAAGTGGCTTTGCTTTTGGACTAGTGTTTACACCTATGTTCAATTTTTAGTAACAGCGGTCATGTTTGTAGTTATAACAAATCCCTGGATACAATTTTAAACCAGATACCCTAAGGAACATTCAGGTAAAGTTTAGTAACATTTGTTCCAGTAGTTTTAGAGGAGAAATAATTATTTTTTTATTATTTCAACTTTATAGGTTATCAATCATTATTATACCTCAGTATGTTTTTCCTATATAAAAACTGAGACTACTATAACACAGTGTTATAGTAGTCTCAGATAAAAAAGAATGAAATATTTGTGCTATTTCATTCCACAGACTTTTTGCCAGTCAATAGTTTCAAAGACTATTACCCCGGTCAATAGTTTAATAAACATATTTCCTGTACTTTTTCATACTAATTTTTCATTGGACAACAATGACGTCATTGACTACTCTGCTTTGATTTGTGCGCTTGGCAATGTTAAACTCTGATATATCGTAAACGGTATAATCTGTATGTATCTGTCGTCGTAATTTCAAAATTAATATATTACTTAAAGAAGCAATTAAAAAAGAAAAAAGAAAATATATGCGACATATTTTAAGAACTAAAACAAATGTATGGTATGGGTCTTTCGTCACAGTGTTTTCATCATCTGGGATTGCTTGATGTACGGTAGCTAGCATTTATTATAATGCACGGTAATTTTTACACAAGGATTCCTGGTTTTGATTACAGTAATCAAAATATTGACAAATACCACATGGGCAAAAACAACCCTGACAGTTCATCTTGTGCATGTTTATGTGACAATTTTTTTCCTAGTGGTGTATGCAGATCGACTTTTTAGTAAGTTGTTTTGTAAGGTATAATAAAACACTTACTGGTTATGATGGTAATATCAATTTTGTTGTCCCTTTGATACTCACTATTGCCCTCGGATTCGCCTCGAGCAATAGTCAGATAGTTGGTATCTCAGGGACAACAAACTTGCTATCACCCTCATAATCAGTCAAATTATAGGTGTATACTATCATACAAGCTTTCAAAATACGTTTCAATCATTAATTTATCTTCAGCCGTTCCAGAGAAATCACTTATAATATATCAATTTCGCACATCCGCGTTTCCCCACTTACGCGTTTTAGACCATCCCAAAAGATTATTAAAAATAAGATTACGACAACGGACGGACCCCACGGACGCCAAGTGATGGCAAAAGCTAACATGGACATAGGTGATCATAGGTGGGATAAAAAGTGAACTAATGCAAGCATCAGAAAGTCACACTCGGATCAAGATATTTGCTACTTGGTACTTACTTAACTTACAGACTCTAAGAACCGGTTTGACCACCATATGACAGGCTAGGCTTGACCTCTAAGGTCACGCGGTGCAAATTCGGCTAAATACCAAAAAAAGACTTAAGTGACTCCACATCTCTTTTAGTTTTTATACGACCGCAAAAAAATTTTGTGGTCGTATATTGGTATGACGTTGGCGTCGTCGTCCGGCGTCGTCGTCCGAATACATATTGGTTTTCGCACTCAACCCTACCCTAACCTCAGTCAGGGGTACTACTTGTAAAAGTAATTTTTATTTACTTGAAGAAGTAATTATAATATACTTATATAAGTAAATTTGTAGGATACTTATACAAGTGTATTTTATTTACTTGTATAAGTAAATTATTTTTTGGCCTAGTTATGTCCCTTAGACATTCAGATTTTTTTACTTATACAAGTAAAAAAGTCATCCTATCTTCTTTTCTTGAATTCTTAGTACTTCTTTGCTCTGACAGAATTTTGAATTGTCTGTCCTTTGCAGATGTCTTTACTATTCATTTAAGTGTAATTTCATGGACAATGAAAATCTCATTTGTCTGTTATCTTTAGAACACTGCTCATTTACAAGCCCCCAAGGAGCAAGTTTTGAAGGCCTTGCGCAAATACTTAAGATCTTTGCTCAATCAGTTTCTTTTTTGAATTAATGAGATGAAATATTGAACTCTTATCAAAAATTATGAGCTAACCTGAGAAAAATTGTTAAAGGCATGATTTTACATCTCAAAACTTGAGAATTTTTGTGGGATTGTAAAAAAAATTTACTTATACAAGTAAATTTTTTAGAAAATTAAGGGGAGATTATTCAAACAATATAGTTAACTTGTATAAGTATATTTTATTTACTTCTTCAAGTAAATAAAGATAACTTGTACAAGTAGTACCCCTGACCGAACCTGGGACAGTGGTGTTACAGCACAACTTAAGAACAAACTATAAAAATCAGTTGAAAAGGTTTCATCATACTTTTATAGGTCAACTGTCTTGAAATGATTAACAAGTGATTGTAGAATTTAATAAACATCTAAATTGTCAATTGAAAAGCCAAAAACAAATAAACATCTACTATCGACATCAAATTCCCTAAAAACAAAAGCTTTAAGATACAACTTTAGGTGACAGGAAAAGTCTTGACTTTGGATAGGCACATGGACTTGCAGTAGTTTCTGAAAACTCAATATTGCTCCCCTTTTAAATCTTGATCAGTATTTGTAAAATGAAAAAAAGGTTACATAGAGGAATGCAGGTTGCCAGTAACATTCAATTGGAGAAAGGG